ATTTGTTAAAACCTCATCTGATCATTTCAAGTCCAATTTGATCTTGAATTGAAGTAAATCCAAATTAAAACATTGTGATATCTATCTCAACGCAGCAGTCTCGACCGTTAAGCTAATGCATCCGTGTGTGGTGGGGATGAAATGTTGATACCACATTACATCATCATGGTAAGATAATGTAAATGAGTTGCGAAAAACCTATAATCCGTAATAGGGAGTGTATATATGGAGTATATTCATTTTACTTGAAAGTTGATGGGAGTTTTGTCGCACTAAAAATAATGTAGTAGTATAGGTATAAGTAAAAGTATCGTCTCCACAGGGACGGAAAAAAGAAATTGAGAATTAAATAAATTCAACGATTAAAAATAAATAAATAAAATAATACGATTGTGTGAGATTTGGATTTTTGAAAAAATAATTAATGTGAATTAACAGTTAATTTAAAGGGGTCTTTCTAATTACTAGTGAAAGGAAATAGAGATTAATATTGATTCCGGGGTAATCAGATCTCGGGGTTGATCAGGCTCACTCCATGAAAATTATTTAATTGAGCACCACTGGTCAATACTACATTCTTACTGCTCTCGCGGCGTAGAGTACAATAATTTAGGGAATCAGACTGATCTTTCATGCAACATGTTCCTAAATTATTGTCAAAACGACCGAGCGTACGCCCCTCTAACTGTTACTAATCTCTTAGCGAACGATTAAGTGTGTGTGAAAGTGTTCTAGAATAAATTAGATGTCTCTTAATTTATTCTATGTGCAATTATAATCCTTGCGACCGTTCCAAGTTTCAAAAGATATTAATTAAATTATTCAAACACAAATTAAATAAAGATCATGCAAATAAACCATCAAGGAATTAATCCTAGATCATGATTAGTCCCTTCATCAATCTCAAATCCCTAATTAAAACTACTCACAATTGATAATTGAATTAACAACAAAATTTGGATGAAAAGAATTAATTGTCATTAATTAAAAAGATGGAACTTACAAATCATCATCAGAGGACCTTGAATAACAAAGCGGAAAAGTACTCAAATGTTTGGTCCTAGGCCTCTCTCTAAGCTCTATTTCCAAAAATAAGGGGCTTTACAGGTTGTTTAAATAGAAAAAGGAGCGATTCTTGCCAAAAAAGGACACCTGGAACGCACAAAACGCTGAAAAAGTGTCGGGGACAGCGTGCCTCCCTGACAGGCATGGCGTGTCTAACCTCCAGTAGCTCTTGCGTGATTTCTTCTTCTGCGCACGGCGTGCTTAATTCGGGTGCATGGCATGCGTCTTTCCCTTTCTAATTGGACTATACTTCCTTCACCAAATTTGTAGATAATGAAGTCCTTTTTCCACCATAACTTGCATAACCGATATTGGATCATCCAATCAAAAGATATAAATAAAATTGTGGAAGATCGCATCGTGAAATCTCAACAGCGATTATCTGACTTCTTCGTCTGTTTTCACCTTGCTCCTCTCATATTCTCGTCATGGTGTCTTCATATGATTTGTATCCCTTGAATTTAGCTTTCATATAGAACTTGAATCGTGTACTTTGGATGTTTCTGCAAAAAGATACGCTTGAACAATTGACAGAACGTCATCCTGATCGCCGTTTTCAAGCCTATTCATCCCTGTTTTGATCTCGTACTTGATCCTTGAGCCCTCTTGACTTCATAATCAATCTTTTAATGAATCGTGGACCTTCAATGCTTCTAAATAACTCTCAAATGTATCTCAAGTCTTCAAGATTAATTCTCTAATGTCGACGTCACGCTCAATTTCCTGATTTTAACTCTAAAAACACCAAAAACACATTCAAAACTCGGTAAACTATGACTTGAACTAATTATAAGTCTTATGACACATTTAAATTAGGAAAACTATATGATGGAGTATATGGCACAGGGACTCCCGGCCCACATACTTCCTCTACTACAAACAGGCCCAACGGGCCCAAACGGGCCAAGCCCAGCAAAATAGAGCTCTAAGCAGCCCACAATACGCAAAGGGGTGCCTTCGGCCCCATGGCCGAAGGCTGCCAGTGACGGAATCGAGCTCAGAAACATCATAGGAGAACAAGGCTTGAAAACCAAGCCTTCGGCAACTGCAGCCCTCGGCAGGTAGGAGCCCTCGGTTAGAAGAGGCATCACAGGAGAACAAGGCTTGAAAACCAAGCCTTCGGCACCTGCAGCTCTCGGCAAGTAGGAGCCCTCGGTTAGAAGAGGCATCACAGGAGAACAAGGCTTGAAAACCAAGCCTTCGGCACCTGCATCCCTCGGCAGGTAGGAGTCCTCGGTTAGAAGAGGCATCACAGGAGAATAGGGCTTGAAAACCAAGCCTTCGACACCTGCAGAATATCCTCTTCACATGCGTCTGGATCACCGTACCAAGTACAAACGTCACATCCAACCACCGCATTTAATGCGGCTACATGCGAGTGTCAGTGCCACCCCGGTCGAGGTGACCCCTCGACCACCAGAAAACTGACACGTGTCCTTATCTAGCATTTATTACTACTATAAATAGCACCCATTTCCCCCATTGTAAACCACGCTTAATACATATCGAATATACACTCTCTCTCTTACTTATTTGTTCTGACTTCTCTCTAGTTATTCTCCGCAATAACCCCTCGGATAAGCTAACCCCGGATACACTATCCATCACTATCAAAAACCGATTTAAGGCGCATCTCATGTTGAAATAAGGACTTTTCAGGAGTCGAACATAAGATTCACCGTCTCATTCAATTATGAATAACTTCCAAACGTAAAGCTATCTCTTATTTCTAAATTGAAAATTGTTCTATTATAAATCTGTCCGGCTAGAACGAAAAATATTCTGGGACGCGTGGAGTATTTCGTCTTTAATTGTATTAATTGACTGTCTTCCCATATTAAATGTGTTTAGTTGGTTGTTGTAAAGTTTTTTTACAAGATTTTACGTTGATAGTGTTCTATTATTATAGTTTTTTAGTTTAAAAAAAATCAATCTTACCTTGTGATTTAATTGACGAAATTTATTAATCTCCCTTGTGGCCTCTTTGTTGAACATAATTTTGTTTTCGTGAGCAACAATTATACGGAGTATTAGAAATTATCGGTTAAATTTAAAATTTCTTAAAAAATATTATTAAAAATAAAATTTATTATAAGAAATATAATTAAAAACTACTCCGTACTAAAGTATAATATCATGGTCACTTAAGTGTAAAAATTGAAAATAAGTTATTATGATTAAAATTATTATTACGGACAATGTACTTTAGAGATCACATTTTTATAAACAATTTTTTATCTTTTGAGTGATATTTATGTAATTATTTATTAAGTTTACCAAATCTCTAAATTATCAGGAAGCAAAAATCTTAATTTTCAAAATTTCAAAATTAAATAATTCATCAACTAACCTTTCTATACGTTAAAAGTCTTTTTTTGGAATAAATACCTTAAAAGTTGAATAGTTTCAATATTTAAATAGAATATTACGGAGAATAACACTACTAAAAAATCTTATATTTCTCTGTAAATAAATAAAATTAATATAATGTCCTTATTATTCAATATTACTCGGTTTGTTGGTCATTTCAATTATTGAATCATCAATAACAAATATGGCATTTGTCTCGTTGGAAGGTTCTCTTAAGTAAATGACACATTTTTTAAGCAGGCGGTTAAATAAAGCAATTTGGGTAAAAAAGAAATGAAAGAGAAAATTTAGAAAATGTAAAAATATAAAGTGAAAGTAATTAAAGGAGATAAGTTGAGGGATGGGATATTGTGACTTGTACTTCTTCCGTCCAAAAATAACTTCCCACTTTGACTTGGAATGTTTATTAAGAAAGTAGAAATAAAATAGAAATGTATGGTTGTGATTGAGTATGATAAATATAAATGAATGTTAGCCACACAAAATTTTCCAAAAATGATACGGAGTAAGTGAGAAGAATTTTTGGGACATTTCAGGATGATTCGGAAGAATTTTATGGGACAAACGAGTATAGTACATGACTATTTATAGTGATGACTTTATTTATTCAAGTGACAATTGTTAAGTTTAAATTTAGATTAATAATAAAAAAACTTTGTTTAAGATAAACAAGCGAGTCTGTAATCAATTAAATTATATCTGTAATCAATTTCTATGTTTAAATTTAAATTTAATATTCAGGATCGTGATCTCTGCTTTATAACTTTTATAAAAATTCATTAAATTATATCTGTAATCAATTTCTATGAATCATAATAGTTTATGTTCATTTTTTAAACCCAAGTTACCATAAAATTACATCGTAGTTACTATTAGTTATATTTATGGGAATAAGTTTTATTTTAGTACTACGTAATATTTTTGAAATAAACCCTTTTATTTCACACACTTTCTTGTGTAATATTCACTCCATCCAATATAATTGTCTCGTTTTATCTTTTATGTTCGTCCTACAAAATTTGTCTCATAATATTTATGTTGCTCTAATTCATTTTTACATTTTCACACTATCAATTCATTATCAATAATATAACTTTACTTTTCTTAAAATATTAGGCGGACGGAGGTAGTATGCAGTAATAAAAACAATTGTCATTAAAGTTACTTTGTAAATGAAATTGATGAATTTGTGGAGTATGGTAATTTATAGTCCATACCTTTTAAATATAGTTTTGATTATATTATTTCGTAATTCAACAAATTCTTTCATTTCCGGCATTATTTGAGCAAATTGGATAGATTAGATTACGTAGATTCAACCAGAATTCACTTTCATCAAACGGTCTTTGATGAACTAAATTTCATTTCTTCATTAAGCTGAAATGTCAATTTTATCTTTTCCCTAGAGTCCCCTTTACAAACAATTGTGTACTTATTTTCTTTTTTTGGAATATTATGTTCCCCAAGTAAAAAAAGAAAAACAAGCCATTCACCTTTGAAGCATAAAATCAAGAAAATGAGACATTCCGACAAACAGTCGCAGAATGAACCCATATATTAAGGGACTTAATGTGAATCACTCCCCATTCTTTCTATCTTTCTTGTGCTACTCTCCCCCTTCTCTTTCTCCGTCTTTTCCTTCCCCAACCTCCACTATTTAAAGCCTAAACACAGTTCTTAACTGGATATGGATAATCAGTCTTCTTCTCTTCTTAACTGGGCTTATCTCTGCCAAGGAAAGGTTAGATAACCAATCCTTCTTCTGTTAAATTGTCAATACATGTTTAGAATTAATTACAATGTGCTCTGTTGTTGATCTTTTTTGTGAAAATATGTCGGGATTTCTGTAAATGAAAATAAAAATTGAATCTTGATTCTGTTACTATTACTTAAGAAGTAAACTATACAAGAATCCAACATTGAATAAATATAGAATTATGGAAAAGAAAAACTAATGATTTTGTTTGTTAATGTGGATGAACAGAGCATGGATGAAATGAGGCAGTGGCTGTTAGTGACAACAATGGAGTTGGAGAACACTAGAGTGAAAGCGCAAGAAGAGCTGAAAATGAGAGAAATTCAGATTCACCAGCTGAAAGAAATGGTGAACAGAGCAATTCTGGAGAAGAAGGAGGCGGAGGAGAAATGTCAGAGGCTAATATACGAGAGGCTTCTTCTTCTACAGACCTCTGCCTCTCCTCATCCCCTGTCCGGAGTTTCAACCATTGACGACGAACCCAGAAGCAATAACGGCCTCTCCTCCTCCTCCTCCGACGGGAGCATTGTTTCCTCTCCGGCGTCGGCGCCGGCGCAGATGGATTACCCGGTCCTGGTTGATAAGCCGTTGCCGGAAAACGGTAAGTTCTTGCACGCGGTGATGAAGGCAGGACCACTTCTGCAGACCCTTTTGCTGGCCGGACCTCTGCCGCAGTGGCGCTACCCTCCTCCGCCGATGGAGACATACCAGATTCCGCCACCGCCGGTGATCATCCCAACTCCGGCGGCCCTGACTAATCCACACCTTCTGCACCAAGATTCTGTTCATGGAATCGCGGCGTACGATGGGATTTCCAATTGTGGTAGGATAAACAGGAAAAGGGGATTCTTTGATGAATCTGATTCTTCCGCCATTGAAGCCAACAAGTACCTTCGGATTGTGCTCTGAGCCTCTGACTAGTGTCAGTTTTTCCGGTGTCTGCCATTACAGAGAGGGCTGCCAAGATCGGTGGGGTCTTGATTCAAGCAAGCATTTTTGTACATATTCTGAGAGCTTTTGATTTAGGAATGGACCAAAAACTAATTTGACCAAAGAGAAAGAAATCTGGACTGGTCATTCCTTCGGTTGTTGTCGGCTTTAAAATCTTTTTCCGTATTTGCTTAGCAAATCTCAGATTAGCTTATGATATCTCCGATAAGGGTGTGATTGTAATTTCCATGATTGTGGATGGATCCTTTGTTATCACTCATATGTCAATTGTTCTTGTAAACTCAGGGTCATTAATTAAGTGGAGAGTAATCACAAGTTGTGTTTTAATTAACATTTGAAAGGGAAGGTGAAAAGAGAAATGAGGTAGCCAGGGCACTAGGGGTAGAGAGCAATCTTTTTCTGGATGGGTTCCACAAATCAGAATCAGGATCTCATATGCACTCACGTGATAATGTCCATGTTTAATACTTTAATGGTTGTGTTTTAGCTTTTTTGGTTGATTTGATGTTTACGGGAGTTTAGAATTTTGTGTTATAAGGTAATTTTATTAATATCAGTACCGTTTTTACTTTAATGATCACCATTTTTATCTTCAACTTCCTTCGCCCGTCTAAAATTGATTTGCAAAATTACTTCTTTAATCAATTAAGGTTAAATCTTTTTTATCGATAACCAATTCAATTTTAATAATCAAAATATACAATTCAGAAACTACACTAAAATCTCTATAACGTTGTAAACTCAGAACTTAATTTGTATTTTACTATCACTATTGTTATTAAGGTCCTGCTACCGTGCATGTCAAAATTTTAAGTGTTTCGGTACATTACTTTTTGTAACCAATGGGATTATAGCACATTTCAGCTTATATGTTTACAAATTACAACACGGGCTCAATACTTTGTATCATTTTCTATTTAACCCCTCCCATTTAATAGTTCAAAACTTGTAAGAGAAATAACCTGTCGCATACCAGCATTCCTGCTAATTCACGGTTCACCGGTTGTCATGTTTCCCCAAGTGAAATAAAACCTTTGTTTTAAGAGTTTTTTTATGAATGAAAATTTTCTTCAGATCAACTAAATTTATCAAACTCAGATATTAGAAAGTTTCTACAAATTAAAGATTTATTTAAAGTGAACTTATCAAACGGAAAATTGTTGTTATTGGTATGTCCGGAGTATTTTTTAAGGCACAAATGCATGCTTTAAATTAAGAAATATAATAATCTTCTAAAAATAGGACTACATGTTTTATTTTTTTTAATGAGAGAAAATATAACGTTTCTATCCTTAATATAATTAGTTAATATAATTATTTGTCCCTCCCCTAGTTCCCTAGCATACGCAAGTCAGACTACAATTATACTCTGATCAATCTGTTGGCGGCGACATTCTGACATTAGCAACATCACTTCGATGGCGGCAACAAAACTCCGGTGGCAGAGGCGAGCGGCAGCTGCAGTGCTTCAAACTACTATTAGGTCCTATTTGCTCTGAAAAATGGACAGATTTTGGTTTTACTTGAAGAGTTCATTCTCCCTTAAATTACAAGGTATTTGGGTCTACTACTTCAAACTGCTTCTGCTCCTTTAGAGAACAGAAGTAGATACTGAAGTGTTGGAAATTAGGGGGAGACCCGCTTCTAAAAAATTAATTCTGATTTTATTTATGCTTTTAAAAAACATCCGGTGTGGAATTGATTGTATAGAGTGTTTGGAATATGATGTTCATAAAAAGACTCTTTTTAGCGTTTTCAATAAGTGAGACGAAGTTGGGTAAATAGTTGTTCAGTCCTAACAAATTTTCACAACAACCCAACAAGTTAACTATTTCACAAAAATAAACCATGTGATAACACTGTAATTTTTCAGGTAACCCTTTTTTAAATATTAAATAGAGAATATTACCCGAAATAGGACTAAAAAGGTTTGAAAATTCCAAAATAGGATTGCCATGTTTTTATTCTCGACCAAAATAGGACTAATTACTGTCATGATTTGGCAGTACCAGACTTCAAACATGGAAGTATTTTCTAAACTTGAGAGTAGTACTCCTATTTTTGGAATAAAAAACATGAAAGTCCTGTTTTGGAATTTTCAAACTGTTTTAGTCTTATTTCGGGAACTTTCCCTATTAAATATAATGAAACGTGTATATATATTTCAACAAAATTTCAGCTTTCAATTGAGAAGCTAGTTAAAGAAATTATTGAAACATACTGTGGATTGTTTATTTGCATAAAGCGCATATGTTTTAATATTTTATTTAACTAACCTCACGATTGATTTTAAGATGAATTTTTGTGAAGAACATGCTCCAACATTGATATAGAAGTGAAAATTTAACTCATTTGATAATCTGACATCGGAGAATTCCTCTTTGGCATATGGAGCATTCAGTTTTTTCTCTGTCTTGCCAAAGTAGTGACTTTACTTATTGTTATTGTTATGATAAATAACCGACTTAAGTGTAATTAAAAAAACTACTGTACGAATAAGTTAGGGATGATCGTGGCAGAATACTCCTATCGTATTGGTTAAAAAGTATAGGTACCGGTACATTACAATTTTGTAAATGCACCGTAGAATTTTCCTTGTTATTATTGTTAGTTTTGCAGATTATTTTCTAACTTATTACTAAAATAATTATAGTAATTGTCGGGGTAAATGACCTAGCACAGAACGCGCCCAATACCATAGTAGATCTACAAGCCTAGCAGCCCGACAAGGGGGATTTGGATCCGGGCAGTATGAGCCTCTTTTTCCCTCTTCTTCTCCTAGCAATGTCTTGATTTTGTGTATTGCTCTTCGGTGTAACCTATTGAGTGGTGAAATTTCATTGTTCATGATTGGCAAGTGTTGGAAAAATTGAGAGTAGTTCAAATGAATAAAGTTTTACTCATTTCATTGTTCATGGTTGTCATGTTCACTTTTTAAACTTATGAAATGTTACAATTTTGACAAATAATTAAGTATTATTTAATAAACCCTAAACCCAAAAATATCTTTCTAACGTATCATATCTCATTGGAATGATCACTTTGAGTTTTAAAGGTATTTTTCGACTCAATTTATAATGCATTTTCAAGACTATAGTAACATATTACGTCTGTGTGTTTGTGTGTGTGTGTGTCTATATATATAGAGAGAGAAGTGCTCATGTCCAGCATTTCTCCGTCCGAACGCCATCCGAACACCGCCGTTTAGGGTGGTTTCCGATGGATCTTTTTGATGAAATTTTTTGAGCATGTTCATCATCGAGTCTAGTTTATCCATACCAAATTTAAGCTCAAAATTCGATCGGGAAGGCAGTCAATAGAAAAATGCAATTAACTTCAACAAACTATTTGACTGCCTTCCCGATCAAATTTTGAACTGAAATTTCGTATGGATAATCTAGACTTGATGAGGAACATGCTCAAAAAAAATCATCAAAAAATTCTATCAGAACCACCCCAAACAGCGGTGTTCAGACGGCTTTCGGACGGGGGTGGTGGACAGGATCATTTCTCTATATGTATGTATTCTAGCCGAGAGCAAATAGGTTATGAGCTTCATGTTTAGTACTTTATCTCGTTTGATAACCCATGCTTTATGAATCTGCATTTTACGGAGTATCTTTTATTACTGGGTTCATATATTAATTTTCTTCTCGTCAGTTCTTTTACCGGTCTTGCACCTAAGTGCTCATTATATCGGGAAATTTTCATACGTCAGAAATAATTCCTTAGAACAGTGTTTGACGCGTCCCGAGTTGATAATGTATTTTTTAGTTCTTTTTAGTGATTATTTTGCAAGTCAATTCTCGAAGTTAGATGGTCAATGAGTTCAACTTAGGAGCAACAAGGTCAACACGTTGATTTTTGAAGGATAGAGCCAACAGGGAGACAGTGGTGTCAACCTAATCCTTCTGAAGGTTCAACTACTCGTCTTCCTCCTAAACCACTGTCTCACTTTGAGAAAAAGTTAGTGTTCAACTCGATCTTCTTTTCGATGGCAAAATTATACTCACTCAGTCCCGGATAGAACTTGACATTTGTTTTTTGCGCGGTATTTTAGGAGCTCAATTCATAGAAGAACAAATGTCTTGCATGTCCTTTGACTTTTGGGGGGAATTAATGTTATCCACTCAAATGTAAAAAGTGGGTGAGTAGTGAAAGGTAGTTAGACCATTTTATATAAAAGAAGATGCCTAAAAATGAAATGTAAAGAAGTAAATGAGACGTCTCAAAAAGGAAAATGTAAAAATTTAAATGGGACTAAGAGAGTAATATGAAAATAGGGGGTCAATGTCTGCTAGGAGACCTAATAAGGAATGAACGATATGGAATTATGTACATGGCCTGATGGCATTAAAATAAAGAAAGGAGGGCTTTCGGGCATCTCTGTTTTGAAAGGATTTCCTATCTTCAAGTTTCTAATGAAAACATAAAAAAATAAAATTGAAGGAAACTAAGCATTCCAGTTCAACTGGTTGTGAGGTTACCGTGCCTAGTGGGGGGTTTCGAGTTCGAAACCCGCTAGGCACATAAGGGTTTGAAACTCAATGGAGTGAGTTTCAGGCCTGATTACTCCAAGCCCCTAGTCCCCTGAAGTAACAAAAAAAATTGAAGGGCATGAATATTGTGCTAGCCGATATTTGAATATTTGAATGTGTGTTTTCTTTACGGTCTTGTGATTGTCATTTGTCAGGATGTTTTCTATTTATTATAGAAATATCCTACCGGTGGGCGTAGCTCAACTGGAAGCAAGAGAGTGCCACAAGGGTTAGGTCCCGTTCGAATCCCGGATTCCCGGCAACTGCGATGAAGGCTTACAATGCTAAAAATGCATAGGGCTTCTGCAAGTACCAGAGACAGAGCCACACTCTCAATCTATCAGATTGGGATTATAGTCCAATTTACATCCTCCCAACGTACCGTCCAGTCGAGCAGGGGCAGACCCACCCTAGGGCTAGGGGATGCTCGGGGCCCCGCAGTGATTATATATATATATATATATATTATTAATTTTTATTAACTTGGGCCCCTGCAGGCTGCAGCCCAATCCCAATTCCCCTTCCCCTTTCCCTGCGGCACAAATTCCCGTTCCCCCTTTGGCCTTTTCCCATTCCCGTTCCCCTTTCAGCCTTTCCCAAATCCCGTTCCCCGCTTCCCCCCTTTTGGCCTTTCCCGACCCGGCGAGTCGACGACCCCTGCACGCAGCACGCTCACGCGAGACGGCGAGACGGCGAGAGGCGAGACGCGAGACGGCGAGAGGCGCCCACCGCCCACACGGCCACGCCAGGAATTCCATGCACTCACGCAGTGCTAATTGCCGAAGCCCG